GCTCTTTGAAGACAATGATTTTTTTTTGTATTTTGTATCCCACTACCTAGCACAGTATCTGACACCTGGTGGTCTCTTACTAAAAGCTTGTTAGCAATAATACTGACGAGTCAGAGATAAGGGTGGATTGTATATGGAAAAACAGATTTCAAAAGCCTTTCTGCCTGAAGGAAAAAAGAAAAGGGACTATGACATCAACCCCTGAATTGCCCTAGTCCCGTTTCTAAAATCTTATTTCCTAAGCAGAAACAATGTGATTTGGTGAAAAAGAATATAAAGGCCTTTTGCTGAATTCCTGTTCCAGAACTTTCCATTGTTCAACTTAAGTCACTGAACCTCCAGAGTCTCAATTTCCCTGTCTGTAAAATGAAGATAGCATACTATCCAAGTCACAGTGTCCTGAGGTAGGATACAAGGCAGTGCCTAGAGTCAGAGAACCTGGCCTCAAACCCACCTCTGATAATGTACTAGCTGTGTGACCTTAAATAAACATGTCATTTAGTCTCCCTAGGCCTAAGTTTCCTCATCTATGAGATGAGGTGGTTGGACTCAGTGACCTCCAAGGTTATTTCCAGCTCTGGAGATCTGTGACCCTAAGCTTGAAAGTGCTATTTATATTTAAATTTAAGTACTATTGCATGACCCCTAAAATACCCTAAGAAAGTCTTTCCTTCCAGATTCTAGCCAGAAAGAAGTTCCAAGCAATTAAAACTCTCCGAAGGCCACTGTGTTTGTGTGGTGTTCACAGCCTGGTATTTAGCATGTAGAAGTTGATCTTAAACGGTGTTTTTACCCAGGAGGTGAAATGTGGACCTTATGTACAGTAGGTGTCAAAGTAAAGGGCTAACCGTGGTTTTCGCAATCAGAAGAACATAATGACCCCATCGTCAAAGGAAATACCTAGGTAGCCAAGGAAACAGTTTATCCAAAGTTATCCAGGTCATCCACTCCTACTGTATAATGTTCAAAACTGTTAAAGAAGGGGAAATTGGTTATTTCTTATTCTTCCATCCACTAAAAGGAAGTAAATTCAGTGAATAAAAGTACCCTCTGTGTTTGTGCTTTTTAAACTACTAAAGCTCAAAGATGACAATATCTGCCAGGGATGTCAATTAGCTTTCATGCACTGAGCTCAAATCAGGTTTTACTATTTCCTTTATATTTTCCTTTTGGGCATTGATGTGTCTCAGTGGATAGTGCACCAACTTGGAACCAGAAAGACTCATTTTCAAGGCCTTTGACACTTACTAGCTGTGTGACCCTGGGCAAGTCATTTAATCCCGTTTGCCTCAGTTTCAGTATCTGTAAAAATGAGTTGGAGAAAGGAATGGTAAACCCCTCCAGGATCTCTGCCATGAAAACTCCAAAATGGGGTCACAGAGAGTTGGACACAACTCAACTACAAAATTATATTTTCTTCATATTTCAAAAGAGATGTGTTCTTCATTATCAGGACCTTAGGCAGCTGGCACAAATTAATTACATTAATTAAAACACTCAAGTACTTTTAAAAGCAACATAACAATAACCAAATGGCAAACCACAGTCATCAAAACGAAAATATTTCCTTGGGGATAAATGCCAGCAACCAGTAACATGGCTGCCCTCTTGGAGTAACCCCAGTGAAGCACTAATCTGACATCATGCCTTGGAGCTCAGTGCAGACAATAAAATGTTTCATCTCAAGCTGCTTTTTTCCTGCATTGATCAGTATCTCTGGAAGAATTAAAATGTAATAATTAACATTGAAATTGGGTTGTATTCGACATGAGTGACTTCTCTAGAATCTGACCTTCCTCGCCGCTATACAGGCAGCAGGAATTCCTGACGCTGTCTTCCTGGTATTGTAATAATCTGAGGCATGCAAGGTTTGAGGAACCATTTCAGCCTATTGCCTCTGAACTCAAGAAAGAAATCTCTGGTGGACTTTTGTTTTTCTTTTAGAACAAGAAGAGGAAGCATTTAATTAAAATCAGCATATAGTTATCATTAAATCAACAAACAGAAGTGTGCTTGGATCAATTAAGTCATTGTTTCCTTTAAAGTATGATGCCACTTGGGTATTCTCATCAGTGGAATACATTCCCTAGTCAAGACATGGTGGGGATGTTTCCTCTGCTTACTCAGTCATCCAGTTACTCCCTTCCCCCCACCTATCTTTGTCTCATGTCTTGAACACACACATACATACAGGTACACATTGGAGAGAAAAGAGCACAGGAGAAGAAAGAGGAGGGGCCCAATATTTGCCACAGTATAGCTGATTATTATGCTAATGGTGTCTGTGTTGTTTCTGCTGGTGTCTGATCTACTTAGGTACAGAACAATATTTATCTTTTAAGTGTGAGTTTTAAGTTTAAGGCTCCATTTATTCTAATCGTTATCAATAGCAGACAGCTTACTAAGTACATACTGTAATGCAGGATGCCCTGCAAGGAAGTGGGCGAGAGGACAGGTATGTCCATAAAAAGGTACCTAATGGTACATTGCAACATATGCCAAGCGGAAAATAAGTGGTACAATCAGTACTCAAGGGACTCATAGGAGGATGAGATAGAAATTCTTGTGTGTCCAGGTATGTGGAAGTCAGGAAAGGCTTCTTGGAGGAGATGGGATTAGAACTGGACCTTAAGGGAGCAGTAGGATTTATGTAAGTGGAAAAGAGAAAGGCATCCTAACACTATACTGCAAAGATGGTTGATAACACAACTCCAGTTCAGATCTCGGTTCAGTTACCCATCTTCTGTCTGGTGTATTTTCAGAGAATAGAGATTTGGGGACAAAAGTGAAAAGGAGTGAGTATTTTGGGATACCTCCAAATAAGAGTAGGTGGGAGGTTCTCCATCATTGGAAGCCTTGGTGAGGAGGCCAGGTGACCTCTTGGAAGAGATATCGTAGAAGAGAAATTTTGGGGTATAGACTAGACTATATGTTCCTCCAATTCTTCTCTACCTTTGCAATTCTGGGAGTTTGTGGAGGATGAATTCCCCTGCATTGAAATGACCGATCTGAAACTTTCACCTGTAATATCAGTTTGCAGGAAGAATCTTGGATACATTTCTCTAGCTTACATACTGCCCTCTGAGGATGGTGGATAATTGAGGACAAGAGAGTGTTTTTGTTGTTTATTAGTTTGTTCTTTTTAAAATAAGGCTTTGCATTTGAGCTCTCTGCTTGAAATTGCAGATACTGTTTCTGTTCCAGACACTACTGTCAGATGCTGCCCTGCAAAACTCAATTCAGTAAGCCTTTGTGAAGTGCTACTTTGTGCCCAGCGTGGTGCTAGGCACCAGGGCCTTAAAGACAAAAACAATTCACTATCCTGCGCTCAAAGAGCCTACATTCTCTTGGGAGGAAATAACACGTAAATAGATAGATAAAGGAAAGCTGTATACAAAATAGATACAAAGTAATTTTGTGAGCAGAGCAGTGAGAACTGGGAAAGTCAGGAAAGTGCTCTTGTGGAAGTGAATGAAGGTGGCTAGAGTTTCCAAGAGTCAGAGAGGAGGGAAAGTATTCTGGGCATTGGGGGCGGCCACTGCAAAGAAAAAGAATTAATGGAATGTTGTATAGAGGAGACATTAAGAAGGCCAGTTTGGCTGGGTAATAGAATACAGATGAAACACTTTTTGTTCCAAATAGAAAAGTCTGCATTTTATCTTAAAAGTAGTTGGGGGCTCACCCATATATAAATAATCACCTCCGTGTGTGTGTGTGTGTGTGTGTGTGTGTGTGTGTGTGTGTATACTTATGTGAAAGTTTCATTTTTCATTAAAAATGGGAATTTTACATAAGTGGAAAAAGTATTGGTGATAGAGTCAATAATCGATTTAACAACTGGCTCTCATCAGTAGCATTTGCAACAAAAGAAGCAGGAATTCATTCATTCATTCATTCATTCATTCATTCATTCATTCATTCATTCTGCAAGGATTTATTAAGCACTTACTGTGTGCCAGGCTCTGTGCTAAGCATTTAGAATAATAAGTTCACGTTTAGAAGCTCTGGTTTGTGGCTAAATTGGACTGCTCAAAAATATTATTTCCCTTAGTTCAGTAAGCACTTATTAAGAACCTATTATTTGAATGTAGTAGGTAAAATTTAGAATTAACATGTTTGGAGAAAATAGAGGACTTGGCCCATCCTGTACATTGAAAATTGGTATCTCAGGTTTTGAAATCCTCAAGGGGCCTGTTGGGTGGCAAAAAAAAGTTTGTATATCTACTTAATCCTGCGATTTCTAACCAAAGGAAGAAAGGGTCGGGGACATAATTTAAAACAAAAATCCATCCCTGCCCTCAGGAAGCTCATAGTCTACTATTTTTGTTCTAGTGCATTCAGATACCAGAATCAAGATTATTCTTGGTTCAAGTTCCACCTTTTCTCTGTAAAGCAAAGTTCTCCTGACCTTGAAGGTGGTTCTCTAAATAGCCCTGGAAAAGGTACAGAGGAAATGTGGGGTGAATTTGCTCCCCTGGTTATTCTTGCGTACTTATGCCCCAAAGATAAAGATATAGAAGCTCATAGATGAGAGGAATACTTTGAGTCACTTTTGGTTGTTTTTTTAGTAAATTAATTTTTTTAAAATCATGAATTTCTTCTTCCTATCTCATCTGTCCCTCAGGTAACTGAACCTAGACCATATTAGAAAAGAATGCTTTTTAAACCCTAAAGTATTAGTCAAAGGTAGCATCATCATCATCGTCACATCATCATAGCATCTACATAGAGCTTTTAAATGCTGACAAATGTTTCCCATGTATCATTGCCTTTGATCCTCACAAAAACACTGAGATAGGTATTATCACCACCCCTATTTTACATATAAGGAAACGAAGGCTGAAAAGGTTTAAGTTAAAAAAGTTAAACTCTTAAGAGTTAGTCTCTGAGGCAGGATTTTAACTTGGATCTGTCATGACTCCAAGCTAAGTGCTCTAGGTGCTATGCCACCTGGATGTCTTATGTTTGTCAAGCCTTATTTCATGTGTTTTTCCTTATAGGATACCCAAAACAAAGGGCTGCCATTCCAAGAAATGGGTTTGCCACCAAACCAGATCCACAGGCCCGGGAGGCGGAAAGACAGTTTGTTCAGCGACTGAAGGAAAAGTGTGAAGAGCAATCCAAGCAACTCAGCTATGTTCAGGGAGAACTGAAAAGGGCCATTCGAGGCTTTGAAGTGTTTGCTGTGTCTACTCAACATTTCTTTGGAAAGGTGAGCCCTCTAGTCCAAAACTGGAACATCTTCTTAGAGGGACTTGGGATACCGTGTCTTGTTTGGTTTTTTTAATGACTCGAACAACTTCTTGGGAGCCAAGATATTTATTCTATTAGGGAATGATAGGTAAAGAAAGTTCTCAATCAAGTGTAACTGAGCACACAAGGGTAGCTGATGGTGTCCAATTGTAGTATGTGGGAAAGTTTAAGAGGCAGAACCCGGTATCACAATGTTGGGATAAAATAGAAATATTTGTTCTCAGCATCACTAGTACCCAATTGAGTCCATCTGTCTTTAGCTGTGGTGTGGTCCAGGTGATACTTGGGTAGCTACCAACCTTAGAACTTAGCCATTATTTTCGGGTATTTTAAAGACCTTCTTGACTTTTCTGTAAGTACTTTATGGCATCTAGTCTGTCATTTATGGAGGTTGTGAGAATGCCACTTTGGAATTGATTGTGTGACCTGGGAGATGCTGGCAAAGGACCACCCAGCATGGCATACCCGCATCAAAGAAGGTGCTGTGGTGTGTGAGCAAAGAAGAATTGAACTAGTTCCAAAGAAACAAAATGCATAAATTTAGAGAACCCACCCCAAATGTTCACGTGAAATATTGGTACCCAACTTGTGACAGAGCATTCTAAGCTCATACTGGTCTGATCAGCCACAGTCAGGCATACTGTAACTTGACTCTAACATAGTAATGTCATTTTGGTCCTCTTAGAGAAAGAAAAACCAACCAACGAGTAATACCATGTGAAGTCTCCCCTAATAAGAAACTGAGCTAGCCAACTTCATGGCTGATTATAGAAACATATGTGGAGCATTTTAAATAGGCCTGTAAAATTAGATATCAATCACTTGGGTTCCTTCCTTCACTAATAATGATAATGATAGTAATTGGCATTTATATAGGTACGTTAAGGTTTGCAAAATGCTTTGTGTACGTAAGCTTATTTGAACTTTATAACAACCCTGTGAGGTAGCCATCATTATCTCCATTGTACAGGTTAGGAAACTGAGACTCAAAGAACTTAAATTACTTGCCCATGGATGGCCACACATTAAACCAGATTCCAACCCAAGCCTTTTTGATTACAAGTCTAGCACTGACTGGTTAGAAATCTTTGCATAACCTTTTATAATACTCCCACCTCCTCAACTGCCCACCTTCTACTCCTTCCCTCCCTCCAAAAAAAAAAGTCCAGAAGTTATAACTGGGTTTTTTTCTTGTGTAAGTTCTCTATAGAAAAGAGAACTAGCTCCCTGATATGTCATAATGGATGGCAAAGTTAGCATATATAGCTAATATATAATAGCTAATACCCTAATACTCAGTTTTATCAGTTCAAATCTGGCCTCAGACACTTACCAGTTGTGTGACCCTGGGCAGGTCACTTAACCTTGTTTGCCTCAGTTTCCTCATCTGTAAAAAATAAGCTGGAGAGGGAAATGGCAAGCCACTGTAGTAATTTTGCCAAGAAAACACCCAATGGGGTCACGAAGACCAAAATGAAATTATTTCAACCCTCTTCCTTGCTAAAGCCTTTAACCAGAAACAGTAACAATGCTAACTGGTTTCAGTAGAATGTAACCTCATTTAGGGCAGGAAACATTTCATTTTTGCCTTTGTGTATCCTCTGAGCTTAGCTTAGTATCTTGCACACAACAGTTGCTTAATAAATGTTTGCTGAATGAGTGAGTAAATTAGTTCAACCATTTCCTTTATTTGTCCAACCCTGTAGCACTGAGATTGATGTGTATGTCATGAGAAGACACCCCCGTTTTTCACAAGTTACATGAGCAGACCTAAGCACTTGATAATTGACTGAATGCCAGCCTCTGTGTAGAAAAACTGATGCATTTGAAGCACCAAAAGAGGCAGGGTAGCAGAATGGCCAGGGGGCCAGCCTTGGAGTCAGGAAGGTCTGGATTCAAGGCTTGCAGCTGATGAATCTGTGAGCACAAGCGAGTTATGTCACCTCCAGTGCCTGCGGGCCACAGTCCAAGACAGTAAGTTATGAACCAGTTCCAGATCTGCATGAAGGGAGTTTCCTAGAGCCGTGAAATCATAAGTCATGACCATGACCACCACCGACAAAAAAGAAGAGAAGCCACATACTTGTGGTTTGCCTTAGTAAATGTAGGTTCTTTCATTGTAGACAAGATAGAGAATAGTCCTTCCTTTATGTGTGCGTGGGTGTTTTACATTCTTGAGCAGAATAGCTCTTTAAGAAATATTTCTAGTGACAATTTAATACTTGATTTTTTTTTACTAGATCTGAGATTTAATTGTAAAGGGAATGCCAAATGAAGAAAATTTTTTCTATTAATGCAAATCAGCTAGGTGGCACAGTAATAGATAGAGTACCAGGCATGGAGTCACAAAGACCTGAATTCAAATGCAGCTTCAGACACTTACTACCGGTGTGACCCAGGGCAAATTTCTTAACCTTGTTTGCCTCAGTTTTCTCATCTGTAAAAATGAGCTACAGAAGGAAATGGCAAAGCATTCTAGTATCTTTGCCAAAAAAAAAAAAAAAACCAAAAAAAGGGTCATAAAGAGTCTGACATGACTGAAAGACATGAATGTAAATCAGTACCTGGTGTGCAGTTTACAGTCTTAGGGAGCTGCATGGGCACTGAAAGGTTAACTCACTTGTCCAGGGTTGCATAGCCAGGGAACTTGAACCCAGGTCCTCTTGACTTTAAGTACCAACTCTCTGTCCATCTAGGTGGTACAGTGAAAAAGTGCTGGGCCTGAAGTCAGGAAGACTTGAGTTCAAATCCAGTCTCATACTCTTAGTAGCTCTGTGACCCTAGGCAAGTCACTTAACCTCTGTTTACCTCAGTTTTCTCAAACATAAAAAGGGAATAATAACAGCACTACCTCAGGGTTGCTGTGAGGATCAAATGAGATAATATTTGTAAATCGTGCACAGTGCCTGGCACATAATAAGCACCATGCTGTTGTTGTATAGACATTTTCAATCATATTCAACTCTTCATGACCCCATTTTGAGGCTTTCTTGGCAAAGATGCTAAAGTGGTTTGCTGTTTCCTTATTTAATTCCTTTTACAGATGAGGAAACTGAGGTATAATGGGTTAAGTGACTTGACCAGGGTCACACAGCTGAGGTTGGATTTGAGCTCAGGTTTTCCTGACTCTAGGCCTAGAGGTGTATCCACTGCATCACCCAGCTTCCCAATAAGTGATATATAAAAGCTTATTCCCTTCCTGTCCCCCTGCATCACAAGTAACTTAATTATCCAAAGGAAAATAGAATCTTTCAGCAGTGGTTCAATAGTAATATCTATGTTTTCTCTGAATACAGACAAAGATTTTTCATTCCCTTACACTATTCACAAAGTCAGGGCTTAATTCGAAGGGACTCTTGTATCTGACAAACTGAAATTCTGGCTTGTTCAACCCTCTTCCCCATCTCTATAGAGTTCAGGTACATAGGGCATGGTGTGTGTGGAGTCATGCATTTGCTCAGTTAACACATTACTTCCTCCATGCCATGGCAGGTTCAGCGGGCCAGAGTTTTATTCCTCTGAAGTGTTATATGACTCTTAAGTCAGAGACAAAGCATCCTGGCAGGTGATTTATCAGCTTTCCCATCTGGCTTCCCCACTTCTAGAATTGTACACCACATGACATTTTAGCAGGATGGATTATGGACATGGATTTAGTTTTCTTTTCACTAAATCATAGCAAGCCACTCCAGACAGGCCTCCTGAATGATCTTGTCATTTAGCCTTTCAAACTGTTCCTCCTTTCCTTTGTCTTTGTGATCTGTTACAATTTCAGCAGCGTCTCCTCTTGAGTTCTTCAACCCAGGAGAAATAAACAAGCAGGTAAAAACAGGAGTCTGAAGTTGGGTAGAATGAGAGGTGATCCTTGGGGGTCTTCCATGGGCCTGCTGCTATTTAAGATGATTGAAGAGAGCCTGCAGATGATACCCTGTTGGACAAGGAGGACGTGTGGAGCTACAAGCGATGCATCAAGGAAAAGGAAGAGAAGACAAGTTTCCTTAAAAAATCAGGGAAGTGGGGGCAGCTAGGTGGCACAGTGGATAGAGCACTGGCTGTGGAGACAGGAGGACCTGAGAAACATGATACTCACTGTGTGACCCTGGGCAAGTCACTTAACCCTGATTGCGGAAGGAAGGAAGGAAGGAGAAAGGAAAGGAAAGGAAAGGAAAGGAAAGGAAAGGAAAGGAAAGGAAAGGAAAGGAAAGGAAAGGAAAGGAAAGGAAAGGAAAGGAAAGGAAAGGAAAGGAAAGGAAAGGAAAGGAAAGGAAAGGAAAGGAAAGGAAAGGAAAGGAAAGGAAAGGAAAGGAAAGGAAAGGAAAGGAAAGGAAAGGAAAGGAAAGGAAAGGAAAGAAAAATCAGAGAAGGGATCAGGAATGATCCTAATGAAGTTGATAAGGACTTGGGCATAGGTTTAATCCCCGCCTGAGAAGGCCAGTTGCTGGATGGCCGTGATCTTCATTCCTAACATTAGCCAGCTGTCTCATAAAGCACACCAGTTATAATGTTAGGAGATTTGTTATCTTTGTGTATAAAAACTCTACAATTCATTCTATACCTAAGGAGGAAAATGATGACGCATTAAAATGTCAAGTGAAACAATGGAAGATGTGGATAACAAGTTATTTTATTTCAAAGCAAGCATGGTAATGAGTTCCCTAAACTGGGACATCTCCCCTCTTCAAGTATCCGAAGGTCGTGGACACCAGATGGTGGCCAACTATTCTTTATGGCCTTCATCTCCATCTCCAACATGGTGTAAGGAAAAACAAAATAAAAAGATTACATCATGTAAGGTTTAGATTAGTGATAAAAATGAACCGTATTGATAACCAGTGTTAAACAAGGAAATGAGTTACCATTCTTTGGTTGTGGGATCTTCTTAAAATTATAGAGTTAGAGCTGGAAGGGACCTTGAAAGCCTCATTTTACATAGGAGGAAACTGAGACCCAGAGTTAAGT